TTTCCTTCGTAAAAATAGATAGATTGTTTCTGAAAAGTTCTTGTGAAAGTAAGTTTTTAAAAGAGCAACTTTCACATATAGCAAACATAAAAATCATATTTGTATGTTATAACTATAGTTTGCATAATTGCGCTCCATATCAAATTTTATGTTTGCTATGGAGCTTTTGATTTGTATAATTCATTAGATACATCTAATTTTATACAAATTATTCAGTTTTGTATAAATTCATTTATACATTGTAATTTGTATAATAAGATCTGTATTTGTATAATTATAAGTGTATAGGACGAAAATATATGTATTTGTATTTGTATATACACTTTTCTCTCGCTTTATACAAACACAAACATATTTTATACCGAAATGTATAAAATGACTAATTGTATACTGAAAATGGCTAATTGTATACAGAATCAAATGACAAAAAAATGGGATATTTTCTGCGAATTTCAAAAAAAATAAACTATGACTATAACATTTAATTTGAATTAATAGTTTGTTAGTTTCATACTCCTTCCATTCCATATTAAGTTAATTTTTGAGGTGTTTCACACCCTTTAAGAAAAGTAGATTAAGACATAAATTGAATCTAGTTTTCCATTTTTACCCTTATTAATTATTGTCAAATTTATGATTACAATAACTAAATATTAATTAATCACTAATTCCAAAACTAACTAATGAAGGGTAAAATTGAAAGACCACTCTAAAAGTAATCTTAAAAATTGAACAACTAAGTTAATTTAAAAAAATAAAAAATGCCTCAAAAATTAACTTAATATGAAATGGAGGGGGGTAGTATATTGCTATGTAATGTCATAAATGATAATAAATAAAAAGTATCACTAAAATCAGTAATTATTTATTAGAAAGTTCAAGTAAAAAAAATTATAGAACACTATTCTGGCCTCATAACCACAACCCTTAATAGCTCAGTTAACCAACTCGTAGTTGGTCCGATGATCATCAGTTCATAAATAATATATCAAAATATCTTAAGATATTATATTGATAAATCATACATCTCGTTATTTTGTTATAAATAAATATTTGTGATTACAAACTTATAAAGATACACATAATTTTATTAATATTCACTAGTTAACAATAGTAGCAACTAGCCGTTTTCTCTTTTTAAAACTTAGTTAGGAATTTGTTAATAAATATCTGGCCGCATGGCGTGCGTGTTGTATTTTAAATTTTTTTAGAGGTGAACGAACGGTCAATCGAAATGGACACATAACTTTATCCTTCGTGGCATCAAATCATTGGTTGAGCCTACCCATCAACCCAATAAGCAGGTGGGTCTACATCTGAGCACAACTCATATCACTTGGCAAATTAATAGCCGTTAGATTGTTTAATCGAACGGTGAACATGCACTCTCAACGTCATCCGATATACCAAATGAAAAAGGTAACAGGCTGTGACTCACAGCAATTTTCTTTTAACCGAACAGAAAATTCAAGTACTCGACGATCTTTGGCAGCACGGACCCAAAGTTTCATTCCTTGTACGATAGTTTCAAGTTTTTCTCAGGGTTTCGAGGTTCCTTCAGTATTCTCTTTCAATGGCTTCTAGCTCTCATAGAGGCGGTGATTTCTACGGTGCTGCTTCCTATAGATCCAGGTATTTACCGAAAAAAAGTTTTTTATCATTTTCTAAAATACACTTTCTTTTGATTTATTTTTGAGGAAATTAAGATGTTTTATGCGTTTGATTAATCAGAGATGGATTGAGTACGAGGCAAGTAGGTGGTGCAGATGAAATACAGTTGCGGATTGATCCGATGCACGGAGACCTAGATGATGAGATCACAGGTCTTCGCAAGCAAGTAAAACAGCTCAGAAATGTATGTTTCCCCAACACTTTGTCTTTGTTTCCTATTTTGATTTTGTAGGAGAATAGCTATTGCATAACTGGTGGCGTTTGTAAGATTAATGTAAATTTCAAATTTGGTGATGTGTTATTCTGTTAGAACATAATATTCATTAGAAAACCAAAATGAAACTTGCTAGGCTTAGAGACACGTAAACACGCTTCTCTAAGATAGTTGAAAAATCTCCTCGAGCAAATAGATAGCTGAAGTCTCTCTACGACCAAACAGAAATATTGTGGCAGCTCTATCTTGGTGATCATAACTTTACGTATGTCAGAAATATTGATCTTCTATTCATGAATCTAGGATTTTATATTTTGATCAATGTGTCCCTTAAATGCTTTTCTATTAAAAAAATTACTGTACTTCTTAGGATTCCAAAGATACCAGCCCTGTTTACATGCTAAGAGTTCTTGAAAATTCTAAAATATGTTAGATAAAGTTCATGAATATGAGATATATGAATTTAGGACATCAAGAATGGATCTGATATAAATTTCACAAATTCATTTTGGATATTCATAAACTACTTTAGAAATCCAAAAGACTAAAATCTATTTAATAAAATTCGTTGTTTCAAAATTTATTGAAACATCATCTAACAATCTCCCGCTAGTTTCAAAATATGAAAATAAGGACAGTTCTAGTAATATAAATCAATGATGATGCCTTAACTTGATAATAAATCTGCTATTTTTAGTCTTCAAGTGATTGTTACAACTTACAATGGTAAAGCGAGACAAGTTATGTGAGAAGATTATTGGAGGATGGCATAACATCTCTTCAATATGTGCGTTATTGGTCTAACTTAGTAGATCCTTTGTACATTACCTATAATTTTTTTTAGTTAATTCGCTGTCTAAAAGATCAGACGAAGAGTTGGTGGTTGAATCTTGTAAAAGAATGATAATAACGCGTATTGTAAGTTAATTGTTCTCAATGGATACTCTACCTAGTGATATTATCTTAGGTTCAAACTTCATAGGGATAAATAAGTGATATTGCAGTTCTTGAGCCTAATAATAATTTTTTAATTTCCTGATATATATAATGGATGTGCATATTTTCTTTTAATGCTACTTCACGTGGCTTAGTTGAATCACATAGTTAGTGTTTTAATGATCCAAATGCCGGTGGTATGCGGAGGATTCTCTGTTGACTGGCTAAGCAATTGATGGAGAGTGGAAACGGAAATTGAGAGTGAGTGTGTTATCTTTAATTGATCAAATCATCCTGGATAAGAAAATTAATTTCACTCATACTTTTGCATTTACACCTATGCATCAGCATCATAGGTGTGTCAGTTGCAATATCTTAGACTTAAATTTCTAACAGGACTAAAGTTTAGTATTTCTAGTTGAACATTGCTTTGGGTGTAAATCCTGAAGATCTTCATATATCATATGTCCTTATTAGATGCATCTTTTCCAATCCCTCATTTGTTGGCCCTACTTGCTACTTCCTCCGTCCCAATTTATGTGATAGTGTTTGACTAGGTGTGAAGTTTGAAAGGTAAACTTTTTAAACTTGTGGTGTAAAATAAGGCGTAAATATTTGTATGACTATAAATCATCTCAGTAAGGATAAAATGGAAGTTTAAAGCTAATTGTTACTAATTATAGAATTCTGTCATTCTTTTAGGGACTGAATACAAAGGAAAGAGTGTCACATAAATTGGGGATGGGATAGAGGGAGTATATTATATTTGTCATGGTTTCAATTTGTATACCTATTTATCCTTTTGCTTGTTCTTATAAATATTTTATGTTGCAGGTAGCACAAGAAATTGAGTCGGAAGCAAAGTATCAGAATGATTTTATTAACCAACTGGTATGCCATGAACTCATTCTCCCTTTTTCCTAGTATGTATGACATCTTTAAGACATCTCAGTCACTTCTCTATATATTTCATATGCTTTAACAATAAATTTTAGTATATTAGAGCTTTTTTGGTATTTATTTTCTTATTACTATTACTAGATAACAATTTAACATGAACCAGAATTATATTTAATCTTATAAATGAGGAAAAAGTTTTTAATTGCTTACCTTTTTTTATAGCCTTATGCCTCTCTTTCTCTCTCTCACCCTTTCTCCTTCTACAATCTGGGAATTGCAATTGTTATTACTATAACTCTCTTAGAAGGGGCTTGTTTGGTGTGAGGAATTAAAAATAATAGTGATAGGATAAGGAAATAGTGATGGGATAAATAAAATTTATGTTGTTTGGTTGCCATATTTGGGATAGCTTATCCCACCATTTATATCATAGTGATGAGATAAGTTATCTCATATACATGGTAGGATAAGTTATCCCAGGATAGCTAACCCTAGGATAACTTATCATGGGATAACTTGTTTCCAACCAAACGACCCCCGTGTACTTGTAACCTTCCTTTCCCTTTCCTTGCCATGCCAGCCTGCCTGAATGCCTTAGTTGTTCTATGCTCTCTCAAGTTCTTTGAAAATATGTCCTTGTCCGTCAACTGACTATGATAATTGATAAGCCCACTTTTTTTCTCCTTTGTTCTTGAGGGTAATGTGTTCGGGTTACTGGACAATAAACTGTTATATTCAACTGATTCTAAATCTGAATGATGTATTTTCTAGGAGCTATCCCTTTTAGCAAACTAAAATGCTGCAGCTTTAGTTGCTTCAGGCCATTAGAACTTAGAAGTACTAAACTTCCTAGAGTTAGCTTGGCATTGTTTATAAACATGTTGATTGGTCGGTCTGTCTGGGATTCTCATCCTGTATGCTTAATTTATTGATTATGGAATCATTCTTACTTGTATGTTACATGACTTCCCCATTTCCTTAAAAACTTACACTTATCCCTTTATCACAGCAAATGACATTGATCAAAGCTCAGGCAGGAGTAAAGAACAGCATGAGGCGGTTGAACAGGAGTATCATCCAGGAAGGATCAAACCATGTGATGCATGTGGTTCTTTTTGCTCTATTTTGCTTCTTTGTAATATATTGGTTGGCCAAGTTTTCACGGAGATAAGTGCAACCCTACTTTCTATGTTGGTTTGCTGTTTCCTGGTACAAGTTCTGATGAAGACACAATCTATTCGAGCCATCAAACAGATTCTAAGCAGTGGCAGATTTTTAGTGATTTGGGAAGCAAGGGGGGCAACTGTAGGAACTCCGGATATTAGTCTTATGTAAAGTTTCCTAATCTGTAGAAACACCATGGGTTGCTATCAGTTTAACCTTCTTCTTTTCATTTTATTGTTCTTTGTAATACTTGCTATATGACAATGACCATTGGGTGCTTATCTAAGAAAAATGTGATTACGGTGCAATGGAGTATGTTGTATAATTCTTTCGTTAAAATAGCAGAGCCTGTTTTGCAGATGTCGGGCAAAACAGTGTATACATATGATTTTAACTCTTATGAAGTCTACCCTTATTTATGCTACTTAATGCTTTAACAGTAAGCTAGCAGATACATGCTTTTGAATCATGTTGTTGCTTTGCTTGATCTTCAGAGGGTTGCCCCACCTTGCTTAGCCTAACCTGATCAATCACTCTCCTTGCCCATTCTGCAAAATAGGTTTCGTTATGTCCAACCATGCCATCTTTATGAAAAAGAAAGCACTGCAGATGATCTTGTGGCGATGGACAATCTTTGCCTATTGGATCCCACCAGGCACCCTGATGTTTCATCCCCGATTGATCTGCCATCCAGTGGTGAGCATATTGTCCTACACCAGCATTCTCTAACCATCCTTTTGGGAAGAACTCCATTACACTGCTCTCGCGGTCCATGAAGAGCATATTTGTTAATTGTGCTCCATGTGGAGATGCAACAATGTCAGTGTTGGTCAGCACTTTCACCTGATAAATGACATTGACATTATTTCAGTGATTACCTGGATACTACTGAAGTTGCATGTAGTGTAATCTGAATCTTTGCTGATGGAAGTTTCTTGGTAAGATTTAGTTGAATATTTCATTCTGTAAAGTACTGCTTCATTGAAATTTCTGGGGTATACTGAATACTGATAGAAAGAAGGAAAAAATATGTACCTGGTCACAGAAAGATAAATCTTCCGACTGAACTATGTGCAGAATGCAGCCTTCAACTCGGGCACATTCCTTTGCAAATATATCAGTCACAGCAGTTGCATTCTTGAACGAGCGAGAACCTCTTCTCATTAATAGTGTAAGTCTTATAATTGGAAATCCTCTTTCATTCATCTCTCTACCTTTGCCTGCAGGATTAAGGCCACAGTAGCTCCTTGCTTTGCAGCGCAGAAGGTCGGACACCTTCAGCTTGTTCTCCCGCGTAATTTGGCCTAGATCATGCCTCATGACAATGGCTTTCTCAAAACAGTAAGGTACATCTCCTCTATCAAATCCTTCCACCTTGACTTCACCAAAACTAACTTGCATAAGTTGTTGAAGCCATGATCCCATTCTTAATCTCAGTTCTCCCCAGTGGAATAGCACCCATCTTGTGGGCTTCAAGCACTCATTTTTCATTGACCATCTTACAAGAGGAGTCATTGCACATATTCCATGCCACAGATTTTCATGGTTGTAGTATGTGTCCGAAACAAATGTTAGGCCTTCCAATAGAATAGCAGATTCTGGAAGACTTCCTCGCCATGCCAAAGCATATGAATTCTTTGTGCCATCCCTAGTGTTCCTTCCTTTAAAGCAAAGAAGGCGTCCTTTGGATGCTTTGGAAGGGAAATACAAGTGTTCTGTCTCATTTTCCTCGAGTGTGTCATTCAAAGAGCTCATAAACCATGTGTGGCCAGTTGTGGCTGTTTCTCTAAATCTAAGGTCTACAAGGGGGAGGAAAGTAACAGAGGTTTTGAGTTCTTCAGTCATGGTCTCGATGACACCGGAGTAATTTTCTTGAGAAAGAAAACCCCATCTTTGGGATCTTGCTGATAAAGAGAACTCAAAAGGGGATGAATACTGGATTTGGAAAAGGATGATAACCAGGAACAAGGAGGAAACAAAGATGCTGATGAATTTTGTGGAGAAGCATTTTCTCTTGCTTTGTGTGCATAACTTGAGATGATCTTCCATTACCATCAGTTATGCTAGAACTGAATCTTTTTAACTATTTCTGTGGCAAATCTAGTCTCGAGATTGGAAGTTAATCTATTTGAATAACTAGTTGACGTAAAGCTAGTGTTAGCATTTCTTACTCAAGTGATAAGCACAGGATGCAAGATTTGGAAAAGCAATCCCCATATACAGACGTATGCTTTGTGGATATTTTATTTATAAGAAGGGTCTAAGGTCAGAGATGGAGCCATATTTTGCGTTAGTTTTATTGTTTTTTAAGTACTTGATTTATAGTTTCGTCAAACTTGCATTAAATTGTTCACTAGTCGCAACTAATAATAGTATTTTATACTTGGGGATCCACCTTCCATGGCCCTTATCAAAATCTATGCAGTATTCAGCAAGTTTCAGTGAGGAAATCCATTCGCGCAGTTGATTCTTTTCTCAAGAGGAAAAACGGATATAAATGTTGCTTAATAACTACATGTCCGAAACAAGTTGGGGTTGGCCACATTATTCTCGTTGACAACAAGGAAGCTGTTCTTGAGAGTATTGTGTAATCTTGACAAAGAAAGTTATTTTTGTCAAGTTTTGATTAAATTTGGCTATTACGTAGACTGGCAATTTTGATTAAACTTGGCTATTACGCAGACCAAATTGTTCGTCACGTCAAATAGTGCATCATAGATGAGTTCTATGTGTACCTTACACAAGTAGACATAAGGTCTGTGTACACTCCACTTGTGGACATTATTTGTAGGAAACGGACAGTTTACATACAATAGAGCATTTTCTAGAGTTTAAACTGGGTGATAATTTTATCTTTTAATCTCTTCAATCAATCACCAGTGAAAATACTTACAAAACCAATACTTTAATAAGTAGAAGGTACATTGAACTAAAAAGAAGACTTAGCTTTTAGAGTGGATTTCTTCCCCAGAGTAACCAATTAAATATAATCTCAAACTTTGCATAAAAACACATTAAGTATTTTTCGTCACTTGTTGGTTTCTTTGGGGTTAATCGTTTGACTTGTACATGGAGCAAGTACTAACTTATTTCGAGTTACTACTCTATAAGCATGGTTGTGTTTCCATAATAATTTTCTAACAGCTTTGAATCCCATGGAGAAATGAGTCCTTGTTCTATTAGTTATTTTATCCGTATATTTCATCCATGATTGTCTCAGACAGAAGTTATGGTTCCTATAGCCTGCATATTACTCCATTCGACGACCAATAATCTTAAGACTAAATCCCACATTTTGTGGTCTAAATCAACCTGGCTTAATTATTTTTACTGATTTCTTTATTTGGGCTTATCATCGAGGTGATTATGTCTTCTACCTCTACAGACTACATTGATGTTATACAACTTTTCATTTGTCATAGTCCACTGCCAATCTAGTCTTCTTCGTCTCCTCGCTATCTATTGAGCCCATATTAATACTGAAGAGCTGCAAATGGTACCAAAAGACATGGATAGTGCCTTAATTCTTCTCTGTCCACATTTCAATATGGATCCAATGTACGCCTAAGTCCCTAACTGTTACACTCCCAATGTTGAGGTATTAACAAGGAGGACTTCCTGGTTTGATCTTATTTGAAGAAGAAAGTGAGAGAATCTAACCATTCTGATTGTCATCACATATTCGATATAGAACAAAGACTGGCATCTGTCTACCTTCTACTCTCCGTTTCTAGAACTGGCACAGCAGCATATGTGTGTTAGTTGCAATCTTAGACTGAATTTTCAAACAGGACTAAAGTTTTGTATTTCTAATTGAACATTGCCTTGAGTGTAAGTTATGTAGAATATTTTTATACGATATGTTCCTTATAGGTGTGCATCTTCTTTATTGGCCTACCTGTTATATCATCTTTGTCAGGGTTTCAGATTCCTATCCCAAATTACCTTTTTGCTAGTACTTGTTAATAGTTCATGCTGCAGGTAGCACAAGAAATCAAGTCAGAAGCAAGGTTTCGGAATGGTTTTATTAACCAACTGGTATGCCATGAATTTGTTCTCCTTTTTTCCAAGTATGTTTGACATTCTTTTAGACCTTTTTAGTCACTTTTCTATATAATTCATGTACCTTAACAAATAAGATTTTGTATGTTAGAGCTTTCTCCCTCTATAATTGTTTGGAATTTCAATTGTTATTATTGTAAATTTTTTCGAAATGCAGTGTACTCGTAACCTTCTTTTTCCTTTCCATCGATGCTACCATGCCAACTTGTTTGAATGCTTTGCTGCTCTATGCTATTCGTATGGGTTTTATGGTGCTTTAACAGATACGTCCTTGCCAGATCTCCATGAATACATCAACTGACCATTATCAGCCTAAACCTGATTGCATTTTTTCTTTCCTCTGTTCTTTAGTGTGCAGGGCGACGGAAATTTGTCAACTAACTGTATTTATTCAACTGAATTTAAATTTGAATGATGTTGTAGCAAACTTCTAACATTTTAGACTGCTTCAAGTTATTAGAGCCATTAAACTTTCCTATAGAGTTAGTGTGGCGGTGTTTATAAACGTGTTGATTGATCGGTCTATCTGAGATTCTCTTGGTGTATACTTATTTTGTTGATTATGGAAATCATTCTTACTTGCAAGTTAAATGACTTTCCTATTTTGTTAACAATTTACACTTTTTCCGTTATCACTGCAAATGACATTGATCAAAGCTGAACTCGGGTTAAAAAAACACGAGATAGTTGAACAGGAGAATCATCGAGAAAGGAAACCAAACCATGTGATGCATGTGGTTCTTTTTTCACTATTTTGCTTCTTTGTGATCTATACTTGTCCACGTTTTCACAGAGATTAGGGCAATCCTATCTTCCTGTACTGTTTTGTTGTTTTCTGATGCAAACTTTAATGACGATGAGAGGAACACACAATAGGCATCATAAAAATGCTAAGCAGTGGTTGATTTTTAGTGATTGGGGGCATCAAGGATGCAATTGTAGAAACTTGGAATATTAGTCTAATGTAAATTCTCCTAATCTGTAGAGGGCACTGAGGTTTCTATTAGTTTATCCTTTTTTCATTATAATACTTGCTATATGACAATGATTACTGTGTGTGTATCTAAGAATAAAGTGATTATTGTGCAATGGAGATTGTTCAATATTTCATTTCTTAAAACAGGAGCCTGTTTTGCTAATGATGTCTGGCAAAACAGTTTATGCATTTGATTGTAACTCTTATAAACTCTACTACTAAAGGTGCTAATACATGAACAAGGCTAGCAAACACATGCTTTTGAATCATGTTGTTGCTTGTTTGCTTGATATGCAGAGGCTTGCTCCTGCTTCATTAGCCTTACTTGATCGATGACTCTTCTAGCCCATTCTGCAAAATAGGTCTCGTTGTGTCCAACCATGCCATCTTTATGAAAAGAAAAACACTGCCACTGATCTTGGGGGGATGGACACTCCTCGCCTACTGGATCCCACCATGCACCCTGATGTTTCATCCCAGATTGATTCGCCATCCAGTGGTAAGCATATTGGCCTGAGCCAGCATACTCTAACCATCCTTTTGGGTAGAATTCCATCACACTGCTCTCACGGTCCATGAAGAGCATATTCGTTAACTGTGCTCCACACGGAGATGCAACAATGTCAGTGTTGGTCAGCACTTTCACCTGATAAAGGACATAAGTGTTATTTCAGTGCTTGCAGATGGATTTTTTTTGGTAGCTATCGAAATTTTCTGCAGTGAGAACTGAGTACTGATGGAAGAAAGGGGAAAATGTGTACCTGGTCGCAGAAAGATAGATCGTCTGACTGGACTACGTGCAGAATGCAGCCTTCAACTCGGGCACATTCCTTTGAAAATATATCAGTCACAACAGTTGCATTCTTGAATGACCGGGAACCTCTTCTCATCAGGAGAGTAAGTCTTATAATTGGAAATCCTCTTTCATTAATCTCTCTACCTTTGCCTGCAGGATTAATGCCACAGTAACTCCTAGCCTTGCAACGCAACAAGTTGAACGTCTTCAGCTTATTCTCCTGTCCCATTTGACTCATCTCATGCCTCATCACAACTGCTTTCTCAAAACAGTAAGGTACATTATCTCCTCTATCAAATCCTTCCACCTTAACTTCACCGAAATTCGTTTGCAGAAGTTGTTGAATCCATGATCCCATTCTTAATCTCAGTTCTCCCCAATGGAATAGCACCCATCTTTCTGGCCTCAAACATTCATTTTTCATTGACCATCTAACAAAAGGAGCCACTGCACATAACCCATGCCACAAATTTGTGTGATCATAATATGTATACGATACAAATGTTAGTCCTTCCAATAGAATAGCAGAGTCTGGAAGACTTTCTCGCCATGCCAAAGCATATGAATTCTTCGTTCCATCCTTCATATCCCGTCCCTTAAAGCAAAGAAGCCGTCCTTTAGATGCCTTAGAAGGGAAATACAAGTATTCTGCTTCATTTTCCTCGCGTGTATCATTCAAAGAGCTCATAAACCAAGTGTGTCCTGTTGTAGCTGTTTCTCTAAATCTAGAGTCTTGGAGTGGGAGGAAAGTGACAGAATGTTTGAGTTTTGCAGTCATCATTTCAATGACATTAGAGTAATTCTCTTGGAAAAGAGAAGCTCGTCGAGTTTGGGACCTTGCTGATAAGGAGAAATCAAAAGGGGATGAATACTGGATATGGAAAAGGATGACAACTAGAAACAAGGTGAAAAAGGAGATAGTGATGAATTTGATTGTCAACAATTTGTTCTTGTTTCGAGTGCACGATTTGAGATGATGTTCCATTTTCATTGAGTTAGAAGCATCAAAATACTATTTCTCTGGTTTTGAGGAGCAAATTAAGTGTCAAGATTGAAAGTTAATCTTATATTATATAAAAAACCAGCTGACATAAAACATAGGTAGTAATGAGGGATTCCTTGTCAATAGTTTCCAGGTTTACAGATGTATGATCAGTTAATATTTTAGTTTAAAGAAGTGTGTAAGGTCAGAGATGGAGCCATGTTTTGCGTTAGCTTTGTTGTTTTTTGGTACGTCTTTTCTAGTTTTGTCAACCTTCCATTAAATTCTTCACAGCCAAAAAAATATTTTATACACTTTCGGCTGCATTCACCTTCCACGGCACCTGTCAAGATCTCAAATTTCATAAGTTTCGGGGTGGAACCCTATTCGAGAATCTGTGTACAGCAAAATAATATACTCATCATGAAAAGTCTCATATTGTGTAGCATCTATTTGATGTAATGATATCCATACTTCCTTTTTCCTTTCTCATTTTATCTTTATTTAATAATCATATTTCAATATTTACCCAATAAAATGTAGCCTACCTCATACTCTTTTTTTTTTTTATAAATTTATCTTTTAAATTATTGATATGTGATACTACATATGGAAAATGATGCATTACAATATATCAAAATATTATATTTATTAAAAAATAGTATAATACACGACGATATAATACAATATGATATATTACGAAACAATATCTGGCAACCTCCAAACAAAGTGTTAAGGAGTTATGAGTTAGAGGGTGTTTGGATTGGCTTAAAAATTGGTTAAACCTATTTTTATTTTTAGAAAGTGTTTGATAAGGTTAAAAATAACTTGAAATAAATTAAAAATGACTTAAAATAAATAAAACACAAAAGTAAATCTCTCATACTTTTTATTTTTAGACTCAAGCGTCATTTAAGTTTAAGTCAATCCAAACGGACTGTTACAACCTACCAGAAATTCTTCACGGGTCTTTCTTAATTGAGTCGGGTCGGGTGGGTCAAAGGATCGGATTTCGTAATTGTGCCAAAGAACTAGGGTTATTTAAGTCAATCCGCGCTGGTTTAGGGTTTTTGCTATAATAAACCTTTTAGCCGCAGCGCCGTTCGTCTTCTCCAAGCACATCCGTTGGTGTCGTCAGTCTGTCTTCGAGGTACAAAGCTCAGCACATGTTTCTTCTCCTTTGTATGATACTAATTTTATAGTGTATATCGGGTTTCTCTCTTTCTTTTGGATACATAATGCATTATTCATGTTCGTGTAATCAAGCTTTGGGCTGGAATTGAAAATTGTATTTCCTGTATAGCATAATTGACTTATCACCATAGAAGGCGCTGTAACTTAATGCCGTCTTTTGTTTGAAGCACTAATTGCATGTGTTACTATTTGTATCCTTTTCTGATTGTGTTAAGAGTAGTTTGCTTTGCATTGTTTATCTTCACTTTGCTGCATTTCTGTTCAACCATCCTGGATGGGCACAATTGGAACTTTTTTTACGAATTTGAAATTTTGTTTGGTAAGATAAATGACAGAATTCCTGATTTCATCCCAATATGTGATCGTTAAATCCTACATGTTTCAATTATTCAGATTATCAATTCAAACTTCCACAACCAGTACTTGGGTGTATTGATCTCCTAATCTCAATGACTCACACTTTTGAAGTATATTAGTAAAATTTTATTTGATTCAAACTTGTATAATGTGAAGCTGGATAGTTGAATTTTAATTAGTTTTACCTTATGGATGACTTTGCGTCCGAATACTTCTGTATTATAATCTATTGTGGAAGTGTGAGCCTACTAGCGCAGGTTTGCTTACCCATGAAAGAAGAGATTCTTTTGTTAGTGACTTGCACTTTAACTTGCTTTCTTTTTAAATTTAGGTGTTTTCCCCTTCTAAATCTATTTGTGTAAAGCCATTGTCAAGATGCAGAACGACGAGGGACAAAACATGGACCTTTACATCCCTAGGAAGTGGTATGTTTTTCTTACTTCCCAACACTTTTGACTAGATTCGGCTGCCCCGCTTCATCTACTTAATGAAGATGTTAGGTTGTCCTAGATTATTAATGTACTATTTGGATGCAGCTCTGCTACTAACAGGCTTATAACTTCCAAGGATCATGCATCTGTCCAGCTCAATGTTGGCCATTTGGATGAGTCTGGCCGATACACTGGCCAGTTCACCACTTATGCTCTCTGTGGATTTATTCGCGCCCAGGTAACTTCCTTGTTACCTTTGAATATCATGGTAGAGGAATTTGACCTTTGGATTGTTTTGAGTCATGCCAAACAGTTCATTTCTGTGTCTTTTGAATTACTTGTTTTGAACTATTCATTGTGCCTCCCGGTCTTTAAAATGCACAACATATCTTTGTATGTGGGCGGAAGTGGTTGCTGTTTACATGGCTTACTAACCTGAGGTGTGACTGCCTCTCATGCCAATACATCTTGCACAATATACTGGCGGTACATCTTTGGCTGGTTTTCTTGTCCCATTCTTCTTTCTACGAAACTGAAATTGAAAATTGCTCACCGATAACTAGCTCTGGTATACTTTGTTTGTATTGGTGGTTGGCATGTTGCTAGCTTATTATTATTCCTTGTCAAAAAACTTTTTACAGTAAGAGTGATGCCTCTTTCTCTTATATTTTTAGATCTATTATTATATGGGTCTTCTTTGCTGGAGTATTATCTTAGGATCTTGTTATGGTGATTTATGTAGTTTGCTCTTGACATTTGTCTGCTACTGCAAATGACTTGAAAACACTTTTTGCAGGGAGACGCTGATAGTGCTCTTGATAGGCTCTGGCAGAAGAAAAAGGCTGAAGTTGGACAACAATGAGAGTTTTCCATTTGATGTTACCATTCTTGAAAAATGAGAGTTTTCTATTTAGTATTTGTATTACCAGCAGTTCTTTGTTGGTGTTAGTGGCTGTTCTGTTTTATGTTTAAAATACATTATCAGACAAATGGAACATGCTTGTTACTATTTTAGTGCATTAACTTGATTTTTGTTTTAATGAATTGGCCTGGTTCGTGAGCCATTTCTTTCGGTTGCTATTTACTTGTCACTAAACTTGTGTTTGTTGGAACTTGGAACTGGCTTTATGCTTTCTTCTAGGTGTTTTGATTTTATGCATTTTCTTTAATAATAAATGATGGTGGTTCTTGGGGCAGTTATTTGTGTACCTCAACTATTCCATCCCACCAATGTAGGTACCAAGTTATTACTCAGAGATGAAAGGTTATCTTATATGCTTTCAGTACCTATTGGTGTTGCAACAAATTATCTTCAGGCTGAGGAGTAGATATCTTGCTCTCAACTAAATAAAATTCTCTTCTTTGCTACTTTTGCACTCTATTTTTCTTCATTCATCAACACATACCTCCCCACCAGCACATAGTAAGTATGCTTTTAGAGCCTTTGTGATGCTAAATTCATGTCTTCTTCTCTTGTATTTGCACCTTATATGTAGCTCTGAACATGTGATGCAGATAGGACTTCATATGTGTATGCCTTCGTCCCTTGGGGGTAAAGAAAAGGATCTTCCTGTTTGTCTTAATCCTTTGTCCTTGAAGGAGCTATTTCTTAGATTTTTATGGAAGTCAATCACGAATTGGACGGATTTTATGATACATAGAGACGTTTGGTTGTGGGTAGTAATGATGAATATGCTTGGCATTTAACTATGCAAATGATCCAAATTTCCTTTCGTACTTACATGTGTATTAGGTAGATCGTCGTTGGTGTTAATAGTTGATGGTAAGTATTTGATTAAAAACAATTGTGAATCAAACATACTTTTAACAGCATGGATAAAGTTGATCCCAGCTTTATAACAAAAGGTAAATCTAGACTAGACTTATTTCAAGTAGTTCAAAGCCAAATTTGAACCCTTGCCTCGCTGTCTAGTTTGACTCCCATGAAATTTCAGATTTAAATTCTAAATGTAGGTATTTGATTAAAAAATATCGAAAGTATATTTCCATTTGAGCCATATCACAGGTGCTAATGTAAAATATTTTGTTTTATTGTAATTTACCCAGTGTTTGAATAAGTTTAGCAGCACAGTTTGGCTCATCTCTATGTGTTTGATAAAATAAATGTCCAAAATTCTTATAAAAACCACAATCAAGCAAAAGAAACTGGTCACCATCAACCTACCATTATCAACTTATTAACCATTTTTAATTTGATCAAATTTTTTACTCTACTTAATGTATAAATTCCTCAACATTTCATCCATCATTTGTGGGATTGGTTAAGGATCGGGTTCTGTAATTGCACAAAATAACTAGGGTTATTTCAGTCAATCCGTGCTGATTTAGGGCTTTTACGTACCAAACTTTAACCAGCAGTGGTGCTCGCTCACATTCTTCGGCGCCGTCTCTGTCTGTCTTCCAACTTGCAGGTACAATCTCGTTCTCGTCTCCTGTATTGTTTCTGTAATAATTTGGATTATTGATGTACGATTCATGTTCATGTAATCAAGTGCAATTGAAATTTGTATTTCCTGTATGGCGTTAATTGATTTAGCACCACAAAGATGCTGTATCTCAATTACATGTGTTACTATTTGGATCCATTCAACTCTTTGATTGTGTTAAAGTAGCATGCTGTTTTTGCATTTTTGAGTAGGATTTAATCTCCAATCAAGTATAAACGTTTGAAATCTCTCGATATTTCCTCTGATTCAAACTTGTATCATGTGGAGGTTGATGCTCCAAGTGTAATTAGTTGGATGCCTTTGAAAATGTCGAATTACTTCACGATTACACAATTAGTATCAGGTAGGCTCTCTCTACACATGAAAACAATATGTTGTTTTGTTAACGACATGCCTTTTAATTTGCTTTCCCTTTTAAATCCCAGGAGCTTTCCACTTCTAAAGTCTATTAGCGTAAAGCCATATTCAAGATGCAGAACGACGAGGGACAAAACATGGACCTTTACATCCCGAGGAAGTGGTATGTATTTCTTTCTTCCTAGTAATACTTTGGATTAGAAGATGTATATTAGGTTTTCATGGATAATTAACACACTATTTGGATGCAGCTCTGCCACTAACAGGCTGATCACTTCCAAGGATCATGCATCTGTTCAGCTCAATGTTGGCCATTTAGATGAGTCTGGCCGATACACTGGCCAGTTCACCACTTATGCACTATGTGGATTTATTCGTGCCCAGGTAGTGCTTTTTTGTTACTTCTGAATATCACGTTAAAGGAATTTTCCTTCGGAGTCATTCTAAACAGCTCTTTTTCTGTGCCTTTGGAATTACATGAGTGTTCTAAGAGTTAACTATTTATTGTGCCTTGTGTACTTTAAAAATGCTCGACTTATCTTTGTATGTGGAACAAAATAGGTGCTATTTGCATGGCTCACTAGCCTGAGTTGTCAGTTCCTATCATGCCAATACATTTCTGACTGTTTTTCTCATCTTATTTTTTTTTCTTCGGGAAACTGATAATTGAGCATTTGTAACATGTTTTGGTACACTTTAATAACAGTAATTATCTCTTTTGCTTATATTGGTTGCTGTCATTCAGCTAACTTTATCATCCCTTGTGATTCTTTCACTTATATTTTTGGAGCTACAATTCGGGCATACATGATTCTTCTTTTCTGGAATTATTAGCTTATGATCTTTCTGTGGTGGTTTATCTCGATTCCTTTTGACATTCATCATTTGTGTGCTATAGCAATTGACTTGTTAACACTTTTGCAGGGAGACGCCGATAGTGCTCTTGATAGGCTCTGGCAAAAGAAAAAAGCTGAAGTTGGACAACAATGAGAGTTTTCTATTTGCTTTTATTTATGCTGAAAGTGTAGACTACCTTTCTCTTTCTCTCTTCGATCTTCTTTCCAGTTTCTCCCCATGCAACCTTCGTCTTTTCATTTCCTGGAACTGAGCATAATGTGAGTTATTTGTTTCTAAACTTTCGTGAGATGAACATGGACAGTAGGCATAAGACTCTTAATTTTTTCTCGCTGCATAGTGTAGTTTATTTTTGCCTCTTAAAAGTTGCAGTTCTCAAGTCCATCCAGATCTTGCGTTGTGCTTCTGTGGCACATCCTTGATAGTTTTCAAGACCAAATAAAAGAGTTGCAGATTTCTCGTCTCTAGGAGAATGTAGTGTCATATACAAACATAAAATATTCAATCATTATGTGCAGAAGACATCGGTGATCTTATAAAATTCCTTGCAAAATGCCAAACGTCGTGTTTAAATGAACCAGAGAATAATCTAAGTTCAAATACCATAAATCCCCTGTTTTTCTTCTTCTTTGCCATATTAAATTAGTTATCAGTTAAGATCATGGGATAGAATAACATGAAAAATTAACACAAATAGCAATAACATTTTTATTAGAAGAAATGGCGTACAAGATACAAATATTAACAATCAAATAATACAGAAGTTGTAGCTTTACGTATCGGCATTATTGATATATGTATACATCAGCAAGAAGCTGCTGCTGGAGCCATGACACGCTTTTTTTTCTTCTTATATAAGCAAAAGAGAGCAATAGCAAATGCTATGAAGAAAAGACCCCCGATTGATACACCTACCGCGATAATTGTAGTGTGTTTTCCGCCTCCCCCTGAAGGTGGGGCAACATCAATACTATTACTTGATGGTGGAGGAGGAAAGGTACTTGAAGGAAAAGTTGGTGATGGAAGTGGTGTTAATGCTGAAGGAGGTGGACTTAGTTTTGAATAGGGGGTCGATGGAGAGGGTGTTGGAACTTTATCACCATCTGGTGATGAAGGTGCTAACCTTGGTGATTGTGAGTTTTTTGGTGGCAGAGAATATGGTGGTACTCCTGGAGAAGAAGTTGGAGATTGCGAGGCATTTGATGGTGAAGAAGTTGGTGAGGGTGGAATCTTGGAATTGTTGGGTGGTGAACTTGGAGTTTGTGGAGGTGAAATGGGACTTTTGGAAGAGTTCGGTGGTGAACTCGGAGTTTGTGGAGGTGAAATGGGACTTTTGGAAGAGTTCGGTGGTGAACTCGGAGTTTGTGGAGGTGAAATGGGACTTTTGGAAGAGTTCGGTGGTGAACTCGGAGTTTGTGGAGGTGAAATGGGACTTTTGGAAGAGTTCGGTGGTGAACTCGGAGTTTGTGGAGGTGAAATGGGACTTTTGGAAGAGTTCGGTGGTGAACTCGGAGTTTGTGGAGGTGAAATGGGACTTTTGGAAGAGTTTGGTGGTGAACTTGGAGTTTGTGGGGGTGAAAGAGGACTTTTGGAATTGTTTGGTGGTGAACTCGGAATTTGTGGAGGTGAAATAGGACTTCTAGAAGAGTTTGGTGGTGAACTCGGAGTTTCTGGAGGTGAAAGAGGACTTTTGGAATTGTTTGGTGGTGAACTCGGAATTTGTGGAGGTGAAATAGGACTTCTAGAAGAGTTTGGTGGTGAACTCGGAGTTTCTGGAGGTGAAAGAGGACTTTTGGAATTGTTTGGTGGTGAACTCGGAATTTGTGGAGGTGAAATAGGACTTCTAGAAGAGTTTGGTGGTGAACTCGGAGTTTCTGGAGGTGAAAGAGGACTTTTGGAATTGTTTGGTGGTGAACTCGGAATTTGTGGAGGTGAAATAGGACTTCTAGAAGAGTTTGGTGGTGAACTCGGAGTTTCTGGAGGTGAAAGAGGACTTTTGGAATTGTTTGGTGGTGAACTCGGAGTTTGTGGGGGTGAAAGAGGACTTTTGGAATTGTTTGGTGGTGAACTCGGAGTTTGTGGGGGTGAAAGAGGACTTTTGGAATTGTTTGGTGGTGAACTCGGAGTTTGTGGGGGTGAAAGAGGACTTTTGGAATTGTTTGGTGGTGAACTCGGAATTTGTGGAGGTGAAATAGGACTTCTAGAAGAGTTTGGTGGTGAACTCGGAGTTTCTGGAGGTGAAAGAGGACTTTTGGAATTGTTTGGTGGTGAACTCGGAATTTGTGGAGGTGAAATAGGACTTCTAGAAGAGTTTGGTGGTGAACTCGGAGTTTGTGGTGGTGGAGGAGGAGCATTGGTTGATCCAGGATTTGAACTTGATGAAGGAGGCGGAGGAAATAGTGGTGGTGGCAATGTTGGTGGTGTGGGTGGGTTTGAAGGTGACATATTATTACCACCTCCGGGAGGTGTTAAATTTGGAGGTGAGGTTATAGGAACTGCCACCGCCGGAGGTGGCGGTTTCGGATTATTCGACGGCATAGTAGGTGGAGGCGGAGAGTAATATGTATAAGCCATTGCAATGCGCTTATGAGATAACATTTGTTTTTTCTTCCAACAGTGCTTAATGCTTATAGCTTAATTTTATGGGCAAGAGGTACGTATGTCCAATATGTGACTATATATAGTGTGTTATATTTATGTATCATACATTTCGTTTGTAAAAGTTTCCAACTACAGTAACAATGAAGTTAATCAACGTATTAATGTTTGTCCTAATTTATTGTTTAGAGTTTATCAACTCTAAAATAATTGATTGTATGACTTGCTTTGACATAATTAGTTTTTGCTAATAAACGTAGGGTTGGTGTAATAATGATCATGGAGCAGAGCAAAGCCGCCTCAAAACAGTAATAATATTCTCGTGCAGCAATTTAAAAGCACAAACTCATTGTCCACATGTCTCTTTCTTTATAATCATAGAGCCGACACAAATAATTAGATTTGTAATTAAATATTTATAGGTATTCAGTAATTTTTGTATATATATAAAAAAGCTTTTTTATTGGTTCACCCCTTAACCAATAAAAAAGCTTATATTTTGGCTGGTAAACAAATCTAACAGACAAAATTTTTTAAATATAACGAAACTGAGTTGGTCCATGTGTCATATTCTCCGATAATGAAATCCAAGTTGTATTGTTTTACTCCTCTTTTATTTTCGGTTGATAATTTGTGCTACCTAGATTGAAAAAAATAGATGATTGTTCCCTATTATTCATTCCTCAAGAATAATGGACAAAAGAGTAGTAGTTTGGAATCTCAATAATAGACAAAGCCTTAACAAATTATAGTTAATTGTTTTAAATTTAATAAATACATTCTAAATTGTAAATAGCTTGGGTGAAGAATCTTTCATTTCTGTCTAGGAGTCCAACTTGAGCAAGGAGAGCAAGTTTGTCTGCCGCCATAAAGTATTATAACTTCTCTATAGCAATGATGAATTCGACAATTGATAAATAAAGTCATTCTTTTGTCTTGAGCATAAAAAAAAACTAATTGTGACAATTCTATAACTCTTGAGAAGTTCAATAATTTTGGAAGAAGATGTTCAGAAGCATATATTTACATCACATGAGAAATTGTTAAAAAAAAAACAAATGAATTTATACTACATCATGTTAACTTCATATATTGGAACATTACATACTAATGTATAAATTATGCAAATTGATGGCCTTTCGATAGTGCCAATCGAGAAGTTCATCAGTCAACAACTTTGAGGAAAATAAACAAGGCAGTCCACTCAAACATTAAAGATCACTATCAAAAGGGGAAGTAAAGACAGCCGCATTTTGACAATAATAATGACGATGTGTTCCTTCACAAACTGTTAAAAAGAAGAGAAAAGGTGAAGGTACAAAATGCAATGTAAAGACACCAGAGAAATATTGAGTGAAGGGAAAGGATAGATACATTTCCTGTAATCCTCAACATAAAATTTCTCCTTTTTTGCTTAATTCTTCTATTGTTGGAAGAACATTGAAGCATATCATCAAAGGGGAGTTAACACCACAACCATGCACTTAGCAAGTAACAAATGGACCACTATTAGAAACTGATTTAATTTTGATATGATAAAATTATTGCAGAAAAGGCAGCACCAGGCTATCATACAACTAATGACACAAGTAATACACTGACAAAAATTTACATTTTGTGTTTTCACCAAAAAGAAATCTTTCTTTCCACTCACAAATTCGACAATAATCAGCATATACTAAGAGAGAAGGCATCACTTCCAGCCTTATTCGAACTCACTCAATGATAATAAATCACACGAAATATTTTAAAATATAAGAAGAAGAAGAGTAGAAGATTAAAAACAATTGTGGTTGAAAAAAATGTGAGGAAATCCGTCTATTTATAGTCAACAAAGGGTGGTATAAACAAGTATTTTTTGTGTCTTATCGGAAAAGTCATGACCTTTTGAGTAGTTACAACCCTTTGGGAAAGTCAAAACTTATTGAAAAAGTCACAATTCTTTGGAAAAGTCACAACTCATCGAAAAATCACAATCCTTCGAAAAAAGTCACAACTTATAAAAAAGGTCACAACTCATCGAAAAAGTCACAACCTAAGTTAGGGATATTATAGTAATTTAACATTCAAGTTAGGAGTTAATGTTTTTAACAATAGACTAAACTTGTTTTAACAATAGACTAAACCTGTTTTAACAATAGACTAAACCTGTTTTTTAATCAATAAAACATGTTTTTGATTCAAATAATCATTTTAACTTCTATTAAGAGAGAGTTCATCTGTAAGGGTATTTAAATATCATCCCATGATAAATCATCGTTTCGGCCTTCCTTCTATTAACTCCAACACTAGGGCATACATATAATTGGACGAAATTCTGCGTCTTTAGTGATCTTTTAACACTTGTTTAGTTCATAGATCTAGAGTTTAATTAAGTCCTAATTACCTTAAGTTTTCACAATTAATGGTACATTGTATAATAATAAGAAAATAGATTGTCCCACATCTACAAAGAAAGATTGATATTTCCTATTTATAAGTAACTAGAAACGAACACTATTTGCCGAGCTTCGTAACGTGGGCTTGTAACTTGAATGAGGGCATTAATGTGGTGGAATGTTGGGCTGATCCAGAAGGTTGGACTTTGTGGGCTATTCACTGGCCTGCCCTATCCAAGCATAGAGTTGGGCCATGTAGCCCAAGCGAATGCATGGGCCGCTTGGCTCTTAAAGTGGGGTGGACCGCGTGAGGCTGGTTTCACAGAGCAACGAATAACTTCCGCTCTATGTAGTGGAAGGATCATGGGTCAGTGCTCACTGAGTCCAACAAAAGCCTGATAGGCTGCTCCAACTAAACCATCATTTTAACTATACATGAAAGTAGAAATTATTTAAAACATCATACAAAATAAAATAAAATTACATAATTAAATTACAAAGAAAACATCATACAAAATAAAATAAAATTACATAATTAAATTACAAAGAGATCAGAGGTGAGGTTTGAACCATTTCTGTTTGGGGAATTGGACTCTCCTCTTTCTTCTTGCTTTGTTTCATTTCACCATAGAAGTATGAAACAAATCCCCAAAGAGAGAGGAATATAGCAAGACCCTTTGTAACTTGAAATGTTTCATGATATAAAATTACACCTAATAATTCTGTGAGTGGAAGTAACAAAGCAATTAAAATTCCACACAGCAATGATGAACCATATTGGACTACTCCAACGATTCCTAGTGTCGAAAATTGCCAAATAATAGCACTCCATACTAGCACCAAATAATATTTAGCTTTTCCTAGCTCAAATTGGCTTGCCTCCCTCGAAATCGCCTGCAATAATTGCATCCAGAGTTACCAAAATACTTCATGTTTAGTAGAAATTCATTAGGGAAAGGTAATAATTGATGGATGAAATGAAGTATTTATTTATTTTTCTTGTGGATATATATAGTTCAATAGACAATTCTTCCTTTGTTATTGTAATTGTTTTTATGGTAGATAAATTAAGAACCATTTTGACTTGTAATAGTAACAGTAACACATACTCATTTGGTCCAGCCTATCTCTGTTGATCAACCGAACATGAAAAATTGAAATTATTTCTCTCATACAAAACACATTCTTAATTTAATTAACAAAAAAGAGGGATGCATATATTTACCTGAAAATCCTTGTTTACAATCATTCCAACAGTGCAAAAAGCCGAAGCAAAAATGTTAAGTATCATCTGAATCTCCAAAATCATAATGTAAGTTACATTTTTTTTAGCCCTGATGTAAATCAACTCAAGTAGAGGCAGAGCAAGCCCTGTTGAAGCAGCAGCCAAAAGTGTCATTACAAACCCCAAAACATATTGTTTAGTTGACTCCCCTTCTGGTCGATCACTCTCCGCTCGTAGCGCTAAAGTTCCCGCTCCAACAATCAATAAAACAACCGCATTCACCGAATACGCAGTCAATTTCTGCTTTACTATAAGAAAAGCAAATATCACGGTAAATCCGAGTTGTGCTGCATAAATAACGGTTGAAGTAGAAACAGGGAGTTTTGCGGGTCCCCACGTGTAAAGATAACCAGCTAGGCCGACTAGAATACCTAACGCGGCTGATGATGTGAACTCCTGAAGAGTTATACATAAAAAGTTGATATCAGAGCCCTGAGTTTTTAGACGGTAAAAATAAGCGATGATGAGAACAATGAGAATAATTGGCCATCCAATGCATGCTAGCCAACTCGAAAGCCAAATTCTTTGGCCACCGTGGAGGAAATAGAGACGTGAGATTACAGGACCACCACAATAGCCTATGCCAAGAGCGATACAATTGAGTACAAGTATAAATTTTCTCCATTTGCTGCTTTGATTATCCATTTCCAATTTTCTTGAACTTTGTCTATATTGATTGATTTTTTCGTCTCGATTTATGTGAAAATATTTAACTGTATATGAAATTTTTGTAATAAAAAATAGGTGAATTGGGTTGGAGGGAGTGAAAAATCCAAATCCAAGTATGTAGAACAATAAATAATTGTGAGGATAAGTAAATGATTGAGGGATTCGTCATTGAACAGGGCAAAGTCGTTTTGGTATCATTAGGAGACGGAGCTAGAATATAGTTTATGAGTAGTCAAATTCACTAACTTTGATTGAAACTCTCTATTTCACTTGAGAAATTTATCGAGTTTGCACAAATTATTACACTTTAGAACTTTTAACTTAAAGAAAACTAAATCTTAAATTCATAAATTTCAAATTCTGATTCGACCCACGGCTCTTCCCTTTGTAAAATAAGGCTTATGCCTTAGGCCCCCTAATTTTTATCAAAAATAAATTGTGTTAATTTTTTTATAGAAAAAATTGATTATTTATGATAAAAAGTATATTTTTTTAAAAAAATATTATTTTACTCAGTTTAACATATGTTGTCCTTTGTTAAATTTAAGAATTAATAGTGAAGAGGGTTGAGCAAAGAGCATTACAAATTCTTTTTTATTTCGTTTCAAGCATTACAAATTTACAACAAACATATAGAAATGTGGTAAATCAAGGCATCATCTTCTTGTATCAGATTCTATGGTTCTAACTCTTATCTTTATTTAATATTTGTCAACTTTACTTATAGAATTATATTAACAATTCATATTATTATCACCTCACTGAAAGGATGTTTTTCAATATTGAGTTGATAAAATCTTACCTAA